TGAAACAGTTTATGAAATGAAATTGTTTTATTAATTCAATAAAATGCTTATTGCAGTGGATCATACAAATGATATTTTCTTGGTTTAGAATTCCTTTTATTAAATTTGAAATGTCTGGTTAAAATTCTTCTTTTTACATTTGGAATTCCTTACCTGTTTAAAAATTCCTCTTTTTAGACTTACAATTCCTTACCTGGTTAAAATTCCTCCTCTTAGATTTGCTATCCCTTACCTGGTTAAAATTCCTCTTTTTAAACTTGCAATCGCTTACCTGATTAAAATTCCTCTTTTTAAACTTGCAATCGCTTACCTGGTTAAAATTCCTCTTGTTAAATTTGCAATTCCTTACCTGGTATAAATTCCATCACTTAGATTTGCAATTCCTTACCTGGTTAAAATTCCTCTTTTTAAATTTGCAATTCCTTACCTGGTTAAAATTCCTCTTTTTAAATTTGCAATTCCTTACCTGGTTAAAATTCCTCTTTTTAAATTTGCAATCCCTTACCTGGTTAAAAATCCTCTTTTTAAATTTGCAATTCCTTACCTGATTAAAATTCCTTCTCTTAGATTTGCAGTTCCACTCTTAGATTAAATTCCATACTTTAGATTTGATGGTTAGTTGGTTGATTTTGTTTAATGGCATATCAACACCTCTATGAGTTATTTAATGTCGAAATCTAAGTAATTTGAACACAATTTCATGGCTTCAACTAAGTATATTTTGAATGCAATTGTATGCCTTCAACTACAAATAAAATGTATAGGTAATTATTTCCTATAAAACCCTACCTCTTGCCCAACTATTTGGTCCATCCAATGTAGCTTTATATTCATTCTTGGTGAGCATTTGATGCAAGTGACATATTGTAGAGTCCTTCAAAGCAGTTTTTATGTTGAATAATATTAAGTATATATTCATAATTAAAATAATATATATTAAGTGCCTTAGCAGTTTTTTAATTTTTCTACTTGCTATTTTTATAAATGGAGACTGGGATATTGCTATAGCTTTAACCTTGAAAGTTTTGTATTCCTTGGTCAGATAAAGGTTATTTTATTGGCTGCCTTTTATACAAACACATACTTTTCTTCATTTATTCATTCATTGAAATGTCAACAGGATTAAATTCTAATGATTCATATTTTTTTAATGTTAGAATGCTTCTGATAAAGTGCTTTTTTTTTTTCTTTTAATGAAATGATTGTCAATTGTTTGAACAAAAATGAAAACTCACCCACTTTTTACTTGTATTACAATATCTAGGAAAAGAGTTTCTCTGCAGTTTTTAGTAAAATTTAATACATAAAAAAATGTCTTGCCTTGGAAGCAATAGGTAGCTCATTACCAAACTATTCCATAGTGAGTTCAATCCTCACACTTGAGTCAATCTGATGTTTTAAGATGAATTTAGTAAATATCAGTAGTAATGTATCAAAGAGTAATTAATGATTAACCAACCTTGCTAAAGTCTTAATTTCAGTCTTTTTTCAGTGCTCCAAACTTTTGACCTTGAGCCATACTAATATAAGATTAAAAATACCTTTGAGTTCTCCACTGTAGTGTCAGTGTTAGCAGTCTAAACTAGCAGGATATTAATAACTGTAATGGGGGCACAGTGGAATAATGGATAGTAGCTCAGATTGAGGAATTGGAGAATCAAGTTCAAATTCCAGTTGAGCCGTTACATTTGCTTACGTGCTAATACCCTTGGGAAAGGTATGAATCCTTCTATTCTCCCTCAAGCTATGGGTAAATAGTGGGACAGACCAGGTTCTATAGCCTTGGATGGCAACTAGTCTACTGCAGAAAGAAATGGCAACCTACTGTGGGGAAAAATCTGCCTCGTTAGTCATATTGAAAGATACATGATAGCCTATGTGTGTGTCACACGTGGCACATAACTGAATGAGTTTGTCTTTCCTCAATACATAATTTATATAATATTTGTATATGTTCCAAAAGTTGTCATCGGTGGGGATGATATTGGGGTCAATCTCTCACTGTCTATAAAATGCTTCTTGGGCATACATTTCAAATAACCCCTGACAACTAAGCCCAATGCTAAAATGGAGAATGGATGAAGGCAAAAAACTGGTGTCTCATAACCAGCTGCTTCAAATGGATGGAGCTTGAGGGTCCAGGAAGGCAGTCTGTCTAGGGGAAGGACAACCCTGATTTAAAAACACCTTGCGGTCATATATCCAGACAGAAAATCTGGAGTGGAGCCCTGAAGGCAGTTGGCTACCGACAACTTTCTGACAATTCCTGTAGCCAGGCCATCTCCAAATGTAATGCCTTGTATTTCTTTGTATCTTGTTGGTACAGCCAAGAGGTGCGGGCATGTAGTCTAAGCAGCGCACAGCCACCATATACCATCACCCAGGCAAACCCCTGGAGAGGCCACTCCAGTTTCAGCACCATCTTATTTATGTACTGTTTCCCATCAGGACATATATGATCATTGCTCTCCACAATGTCCTGTCCCTTGCAGCTCTAAATAAATTCTGTCTTTTCTTTATTTCTAAATCTTGTTCCACCATCTATTTTCTCAAGCTCATCAAGTATGTTATGTGTTCTTTTATTCTGTCCCTCTTGCTCTCAATCAATAATAATTCTGAAGCAGGTACATAAAATATAAACTGTCACAACTGCTCTTCAAAATATACTGGGGAAACTTGCAGAAATTTTAAAAAGTTTTCTATGAACACAAAAAGGATCTTAACAATTTATCAAATATATATATATATATATATATATATATATATATATATATATATATATATATATATATAGAGTAAGTAAAAAAAAAATTATCCACATTTTCCCCCATAACATATCTGTTATGTAGATAATTTTTTACTTTCCCTTATTTATATATATATATATATATATGATTTTAATCTGACCTATTTCTATTATTTTATTCAAAATTTCTCATTATGTGCAAGAAAATATGCTAGCAAAAAGAGAAACTTTACTGAGGGCTACAAAGAAGAGGAAGTAGTGGAGAGCCAAGATTGTCTATGTCCTGAAGAGACACAGCACATAGAAGAAGAAATAGAAATGGTCATTGTAAATATGTACAGGCTGATGTGTAACCTATGAGAGATCAGTTTCAAATATTATTAAAGATCGATCCTGAAGTAAAGAAAAGAAACATATAGCCTGATAGATGTCTATAGTAGATTAAGGTGTGTTAGTTGAGTCTGACACAAGAGTAGGTCAACCAGAGGAAGGTCAATAGGCATCTGTAAATGTGGTTCTACAGAAAGGGACATGTCACATAGAAGAAGAAGAAGAAGAAGAATGAGCTTGTGTAAATGGATGGTAGAACAAGGTTTAGGAGAAATAACAAAAAACAATACTTATTAAAAACTACAAGAAACAGGAAGATGTTGAGAGCCATGATCACCAAAGTCCTGAAGAGACATGGCACATAAAGAAGACTGATCAGAGGTTATAACAAGAAGATAGTTTGACTTTTTTCAAAATATTGTAAAATTGGCTTGTTGATCCAGAGGAAGGATATATTGCCATGGTGACTGAATCAAACAGCTTTTATGTATCAAATCAAAGACTGTTGTCGCTTTTATTGATATCAAACAGTCAAATATTGGGCTATTCAAATGAATAGTTTCTTTATCTTTTTCCTGTCAGTATTAATTTGACTGCCAATTAATCAGAGGCTATGACAAGAAGACAATTTGATTTTAAATATTTAGGTATTTTGATTTTAAATATTTAGGGATTTAAGTTCTCTTTATTTTGATTTTAAATTTAATTTTGTATTTTGATTTGCTTCTTCAAAAAGATTTGCACATTTCTGGTTCTTTGATTTGGTCATACTGAAGAATTTTCTTTTACATTTTTTAGTCATGTTCTAAGATTATCTTTGATGAGCCTATTTTCAGACAAATAATCTTGTCTAAGAAGTTTAAGAGATTAAAAGAAGTAAATAATCTTATGTACCTGTCATCTCATGAGATTGCGTCATTAAATGTAAATTTGAGATTAAGGCTGGAGGGGGAAAAATAATGAATTAAAACTCAGCTTTCTTTTTATGAAATTGCTAAGAATGAAATTTGGAAATATTTATATATCATTACTCCATGATCTTTGGAACAGGAGTAAAGGTTTATCTCTTGTTTCCTGTTTAGGGTTTCCAGTTCCTTCTAAAGTCTACTTCGACTCTATACTTCTAACGTCTCTGCCTAAACTCTGAAATGTTATTTATTTATTTTCTTCCTTCAGTAGGAGTATATAGGTTTTTTGAATAGGAGTAGAGGTTTATCCCTTGTTTCTGATTTAGGATTGGGTTTCCGGTTCCTTCTAAAGTCTACTTCAACTCTATACTTCTAACACCTTCACATAAACTCTGAAAATTTATTTAATAATCTTCAGAAATATCAACATACAGATTGACTATTTTGGATTTGTTTCAAAATTCACAAAAAATGTATCACCTGAAGAATGCCGGAGCATACAACAGCTAAAATGTGAATGTGACATTAAAGATAAGAACAATAAAGTAAACAGTGACAATAGCTCATCTCAAATATATAGACAGATGCTAATAATTATTTATTTACTTTTTTTCTGTTCAATAGGAGTGGGGAGGTTCACCTATTGTCTAGTTCACACTCCTCCCCAATCTTTTGAACTGGAATGGAAGTTTATCCCTGGTTCGCTACTTAGGATTGAATTTCCAGTTCTTTCTAATGTCTTTTCATTCTCTTTCATTCCCAACAGCCCTTTGTGTCTTAGTGCATTATCACCTTGTTTGGGGTAAATTGATTAAAAAAAAAAAAGTCTATCCCCTTTTTTTTTTTTTTTTTTTTTTTTTATCAATGCACCACCACCCCAAAAAAATTCTATCCTTTTTTTTTTCTTTTTTTTTTTTTTACCAATTCACCACCACCACCACCCCCAAAAATTCTATCCTTTTTTCTTATCAATTCACACATATATATATACATTCCAAAAATTAGCTATACTTAGAGCCATATCTTGTTGAAACACCAGTTACTATATGATTGCCGAAGTTAAGCAATGTTAAGCCTGGTCAGTACCTAGATGGGTGACTGCTTGGGAATACCAAGTGCTATAAGGTTGGATATGCAGGTGCTTAATTGGAATTGTTAATCAGAGAGCTGAGTTCCAATTCCAGTTTGGTTCATTATATTACATGCAAATACCCTAGGCAAAGATATAAACCAACCTCTTCTTCCTCCTGCTCTGGGTGAATTAGTAAAACTTGTATCACTAAAACTATTATTATCTCCAAAAATAAAATAAAATTGTGTAAAAAAATATTTAGCTTGCAGCATTAAATAATCCATAGAGGTTGATATGTTATTAAACAAAAACAAACAACCAAAAATTAACCCAGAAAATGTCTTCTAACATGAATCAAACCTGTATTCCCCTTTTTCAATTAGGCCACAAGAAGCCACCATGACAAAACAAAATCCAGGTATACAATTAAAGAAATCTCATTGGAATCTTTCATAGTTTATTTCTGCTAAATTTACTTTCATACCTAAAGCATAAACTAATTTTTAAGCAATGAACAGATTTTATACTATTTACATTATTCAGACTGTTGTCCTCATCTTTGTTCGCCATATTTATTACAACGTTTCGGCTGTTGTACACTCCAGCCTTCTTCAGGTAGTTGGAATGTCAAACTGAACCCTTTATTTTGCTCACTGGGGTAGACTATTCTAGTTCTACGTGCCATGTTTAATGGATGTCAGTTATCAGTTATCTCCTGTTAATTCCCCTCTCCAAGTTCTCCACTGCCTTAACTGTGTATTGAACTCACACTCTTTGGGTCTTGTCACTGGATCTAACCAATGCCTTTATCCACTGTGTCATGTGTCCTCAAGGACACATGACACAGTGGATAAAGACGTGACAAAACCCAAATAATTCTAATTTTCTATATTTTATTCTCCCCTTTATAACCTCTTTACACTATATTAATTATAATCTATAAACTTTCCCCTACTTTAATATCTTCCCAACGATTTCCATTAATCCCTTACATTCTTTTATCTATATATTTTAAATTTAATTTTAGAACCTTTTTTTATTCCGCTTTTAATTTTAAATTAATATTTCATTCTTCATATAAACCCAAATTAATGTCATAAGTTTAATATTCGAGTTTAATTTTATAAAACTTCTTTCCTTTAAGACAAATACCTTCCACCCTCCCCTGACCCCTGTCTCATGCATTTCATCTGACTGAAACATTGAAATGGATAAATTCTGTATTAGTTTTTCGACAGGTTGATTTTTTTTAGCTCTCACAGTTAAATTCTATTTCCCACCCCTCCTGAGATGAACTCAGTCCATACCAGGTTGATAAGACAGCCGACTAATATATTTGTCTGCCAAAATAAGCTATTTCCCATATGAGGTAATTTTGGATTTTATTGTTTAATATATATATATATAAGTATATAAACATTAAGAAAAAAGCTCTATAAACTCTTTTTGATGACAACCCAACTAAGACACTATGTGACATGGTGACATTTACCAATTGTTTCTGCCTTGAATTCTGCAGTATTCATGACTTACAATGCCACATCAGAAAAAGGTTACTTTATCTGAGAAAATTATCTTATCAGGAAAATTCAGTGTCATGGCTAATTTTTATTCAAACCCCGTTTCTGGTATGCATACTGCTTTATCTCTTGTCACCTTCAGTTTTTAAAGAAATAGTTTTACTTTTTATGATTTTATAAACTGTGCTTTTTTTAAAAAGTATTTTTTAATTTTATTTTTTATTGTTACTCCTAAACTCTTGTCTTTTTGATTTACCAGGAATTCTTTCTGGAATTGGTTTTTGGTTAGGGGATTTGCTCCTCTTAAAATTTTTTCCATACATTAAAAACTAGGTTTTTACAATCATTCAATTGTTTTATCACCTCACAATTCTTCATGCAGGCCATTTTTAATGCTACAATTTGATCACATTTTGTTTGAGCTGCCATCTTTAATTAGACAGGCATAAAACAAAAGAATTTTAGGAAGCTTCATGCAAAACTTTTTTTTTATGAATAGCTATATTTCAATTTATAATTGAATAATGTGTAAATTTTTATGTTTAGATAATAGTTAAATTTTTATGTTGCACCCAGTAGATTAGTCATGAACATTGTGTCTTTGCATTATATATATATTCTTTTTCTGTTCTGGACATTGAGTTCTACCTGAATTCTATCCTCTTGGAAATATATATATATATATATATATATATATATATATATATATATATATATATATATATATATATATGTGTGTATGTGTGTGTGCATTATATATGCATGTGTATAAGCCTTATATATGATGTTATATTTATTGTGAATACATGTCTGAGAGATTTCAAGTCTTATTAAAATATTTCCTTTTAAACTTGGGGATCCACTTTCCAGTAAAGTGTGCTTTACTTTGATGGCATCATGTGTATATGTGTGTAAGCAAGCAAGCACTATGTGTATGTTCTATTACCATAGTACAGAACTTCTGTTGTTTTATTTTCCCCTTGTTTGACCCCTTTTTATTTCAGAATATATCACATTGAAACATCAGTTGTCATATGATCACCGAAGTTAAACAAACCTTCTTAGTTTTAAGTTCATTTTAGATTAGTCACTATTATTGACCATATCCTGTTAGTTCTTAGCTATTACTGAAATTGGCACAATAAACCAGTCTCAGAACTTGTATTTCCTATCTTTTTATCATCCTGAATCTTACCCCTGACATGAGTATTGCTAATATGTACCTTCATAACCTTTTTCTTCAAGCATTGTTCTCTCTTATGTTATTATTTGAACATTTCTATGAGCTAACCACCTTTTTATATTTTTATTTTACTGTTGTATTTCTCCATACTACTTTCTCCACATTTTAACTGTTTACACATTGTTCCCAAATGTAACTTTCATGTAACTTTCTTCCTTTCTGAGAATCTACACTGTAACATTGTCATATATTCCTGTCGTAAACTACTTGCTACATTCTTTACCCATTAAGAACCCCGGTTTCAATAATATTCAGTTTTCATCTTGCTTTTTACATTTCTTCTTCCTCTGCCTATTATATTTCTATTTATTTTTTTTCTAGTTTTACCCTTTTGATCTTCAATAAGCCTGCTAATGAACATTACTTTGCCTTCAGAGTTTTAATTGCCATAATTGACTATCTGAGGTATGCTTGTATGTGAGATGGATGCATACTGGGAGGTAGAACAATGTACATTATATAAATGTGTTTGTATGCATTATTTATATATACACATGTGGGTATGCATTTTATATATATATATATATATAATGCATCAAGTGCTGGAATGACAACTTTGATGTTCCTTTGGGAACATATGATTTAGCCCAGGTTGCCGATTTAGTTTGTTTCTATATTTTAGATATACTTAGTAGAATTGTAGATCCTAAACTAGTAGTCCTGTATAGAGATGATGGACTCATTTTTGTTCCCAATAGCAATGGTCCACTTACTGTAAAGTTACAGAAGAAAATAATTAGAGCATTTAACTTACTGGAATTTAGAATTGAAATTGCTTCTAACCTGAAAAAAGTAGATTATCTAGATACCACCCTTAACCATAATAATAATACCTTTAAATTTTACCTTAAGTAAGATCTTCAATAGAAAAATGATCAAAATAAGTTATCCCTGCACCAATAACATGTACAAAATTATCAATGCTCATAATAATTACATCCTAAGTAAATTCTATGGAACTAACAATAAACCTGGTATGGAAGCCCTCTGTAATTGTAGAAATAGTGAAAATTGTCCAGTTGAAAGAAAATGCAGAGTTTCAAAGCAACTATTTACCCCAATTGATAATAGATTAAATCACAATGTTTACATTGGAATCTTTGTAGGGAAATGGAAACAAAGACTTTACACCCATAGGCACTCTTTTTCCAATCCAAAATTAAAATACCATACAGCTCTTTCCAAAAAATTTGGGGAATTTAGGGAGAAAGGTCTGACCCCTCAGATTGACTGGAAAATTATAGGTTTTGCTCATACTCCTAATAATATTAAGAGTAGGTGTGACATATGTTTAGAAAAGAAAATTAGAATAATAAAATTCAACAATCAAAGCAAACTATTAAATTAAAGGAATGAATTAGTTCCAAATGTTGTCACAGGAGTAGGCTTAAACTTATCTAATTGTTAGAATTATACCTTTAAGTGCCGACTCTAGGTGCGTTGTCAGTGTTGTTGCACCCATGTCACTAGAAGTTTTGGGTCTAAATAAACAACAGACTTCTTTGATGGGCGACCTGACCGAATATGATCAGTATTTAGCCCGCACCCAGAGTAAATTTGCTACTAGCTTTAGGACGTGCTTTATATAAGTTCCTCCAGAAAACGGCAACTAATCAAGTCTACACTTGGGCTATTCAGTGTTATAGATCAGGTATGCTTGGTTGTACTGATTTTCCTACATGCAGCCAAGACGGTGTTTTTTTTGTTTTTTTTTTTAAGAAAAAAAAACAAACCAATGAATGTATGTGTGTGTATATGTGTGTGTGTATATATATATATATATATATATATATATATATATATATATATATATATATATATTATAAAATAAAAAAAAAAATCCGAGTTATTATATTGGCTCATTTTACGACTTACTTTTCTTTCTCTTCCTCCCCTTTTAAATTCTTTATTATTTCTTATTTTTTTGATCTTTTTTCTCTTTTTATGACTTTCCTTTTTATTCTTAACTGCACTTTAAAAAAAAACGTTTAAAATAGTGTTTAAAAGACTTACTCAGACTATTTACAAAAAAAAAAATCTCCTAAAATACGGTATAAATAATTTGGGATATTGATTGATAATCTAATAAATTTTGTTTAAAAAAAATAAGAGAAATATCATTTAACTAAAATTGCTGAAAATAAATTAATCAAGATCTTTACATGTTAAATACTAGTTAAAAAAAGAAAACATAATAACATGTAAATTTTAGTTAAAATAAGTTACTCCTAAAAATTAACCTTAATGGAAGAAATTTGTTTAAAAACTAAGAGAAATAACATTTAA